TGCTTACATTTGATTACTGACCTAGAAACAGTGCTGAATAAAATTCTTCATTGTTTTATATAACCTTTCTGTATTTTGACATTTTTCCTAAAACATTTTTATTTCTTGGTTTAAATGAAAATAAATCCCATAAATTCAGACAAAAGCTAGACATTTTACCTTTCAACCATTAACTAGTAACCCTTAAAAGTCCACTGAAGTACCTTGAAACGCTCTATGTGGTGACATAATTTCAACTGAAACAGGAAGACAGGGTAGGACATATCGAGCAGTTCCACCCCCTTTTTTGGATAGCCAATAGTGTTTCGTTTATATCACAGCTCGGGTCAGAGCCATTGAGCTCAGTAAAGCCGCATTTGATAGCTCATGACATCCACAGCCTAATAGATTACTCCTTTAGACTCAATATGAAACTATTACAAAAGCAAAACAGTCACATAATCATGCTGAGGATGTGTAGTTTGAAAACTATGTAATAAATTTGTGAATGGCACCGGTGTTATCTCTCTACATTTTCTCCTCCTAATCTTATGAAATATAGCATTCTCTGTAGAATTCAAATGGATACGATACGTTTTATGGTCTGCGACGAGTCTAGTGCATATGATTTGCTCTTTGGTATTGTGTCTCTGGACCGTTACAGACTATGTGCGCTCTGTGGCTTTTCACGTGACACAACGTGAAACCAGACTTCATTCGCCCCAATGGAAAGCATATTTACACTGCCTGGAGCGTTGCCCATCCTCTATATAATGCACTATGTGCCATTCACCATACAGAAAATAGTAATGAGTGAATAAGTAACCGATTTCAGCCGCAGCTTCAGAGTCTATTTATAGTGTAGGGGATGGGATGCTTCAGATTCTAGAGAACATTTGATTGGACAGAAAATTTGATGAGAAGCTGAAGTGCAGGATGACGTCATCAAAATCGTTGATCCATACCGGCGGAAGTTTTGAACGCTTATATCTTCTGAATGCAAATTTTGTCATTGTTTTGGAGCACACTAGCTTATAGATA